CAGGAGGAGGTGCACATAGGAGGTCATCTGTGTGCTTCTGCGTGTGGGTATGATCTTGTACATGTATTTTAAAATCATAGTTCATAACACTTCTCCATGGACTACCACATGATTTTCTATGAGTCAGTCTGGCGGTGTAGTAAAGCAACTGTTCTGAAATCTGACTGTAAATGTCTTACTGTAGACTAGAGCTTGAGGAATGAACAAACAACCTTTATTTAAAAGGAGCACTTAAATGTGTAGATGCAGTTTTAGTAAGCCCTTAACCCACTTAACCCAACAGTTTCATCCTATTTTGAAACTACTGCACATACTGTATGGTTCCTTACACTTTATTTCATAACATGTCTAAAACTTCTTAGACATGTGGTGCTGCATCAACTGATACAGCTGTGGTGACAAGAAATGTATTTTGAAGCACCGCTTGAGTACAGGGGAATTCTTTGTTAGTGATAAATGTTTTGGTGATTTTCTTTTTTCCAGCAGAGGATTTTTTTTATATGTCTTATATTATTTCTGGAGGGAAGATAAGAAATTACAATTACATACTGTCTTTTGCTTCACAATCCACAGAGCAAACACATCACACACACACACACACACACACACACACAGATTCTGTGTGTGGCTGCAGATTGTTGTTACAGAGACCTCCAAGACGTGGCTGCAATAACAGAACACAGTTGGCAACATGTTTGCATCAGTAACACAAGTCAACAAAATCTTCTCAACAACATTTAAGTACAACCACAGTCTAATATGTCGTAAGATTATAGCTACAATTTGACATTATCTTCTGCATCGCAGTTACTACCTAAATCAATTAAAGCTGTAGCATACGGCCTGTCTGGGTGCTACACTTCTGTTCTTGCATAATGTCTTGCTTGCACGTGTGCTCATCTGTGCAGCTATCTTTACCTGCGATGCTTAAATCAGTGCAGCTGAGCCTCTGAACTGGCTCGGTCCTGCTGCAGTTGACAGGGCATCCATTTAGGCCCGAGGGAGGGAAGGATGCACAATGGAGAGGATAGAGGAGGGAATGAAGGAACACTTTGTGCACAGTGAAGAGGATGATCTTCTCTTAGACCCACATGACCCAAGATCCGGAGTCACCCAAAGCTTGGGCACTTCCGCTCTTCTTTTGCTGTCGGAAAGGACGTGTCTCCACTAACGATGGCCGTCTTGTGTGAATGCCTTTGAAATGTCTGACATCTCAGGAGAGATGGAGTGAGAGCAGAGGGAGGAAGAAACATCTGATTTGTCATCTCAGGTGTTTGAGTCACATGTTTGCACTATGTATGTTTTAAGCTTTATTGTTTTCTATAGCTCTTCTTTGTCACATGCTCTCAGAGGAGATTACCTGTCAAATAAATACATAAACCCAATGTAGAATGTCTGAAGCAAGCATCCTTGTCCTCGAAGACCTCAGGTGGAGCATGTGTCTTACAAAGGGCCCTAAAAGCAGAAAGATGCCTCTGAAAGACAGGATTTCCCCAATCAGGAACCCCTACCTTGCCCGGCCTTTGCCTTTCCTGCCTGGCCTGCTGACTCCTATCCTGTCCGTGAGGTCCAGCATCCTCCTGGGACAGTGTAGGGAGGAGCACTGCAGGACCGGGCTGCAGGACGGGCTGCAGGAAGCTGGTCCTCCAAGACGCTCCAGGGGTCAGTGTGTCATCCTACCACTCTATGGTCAGATCTGGGTTAAGATCCGGTCTGCTGGCTATGCTGCTCAGCCTCCATTGTTAAGATGGTGGAGAAATGTGTGCACACTTCCTCTGTCTATTTTCTGCATGAACTGGTTTATTGGGTTCTGATTTATGACAGCTGGACATGTGCTTCTAACACATCAGGCTGCAAGCCTGATATAAAACAACACAAAGGCATTGGCCAGTTGTCACCCATTGATGTGATAATCAGAGAGTTAAGGTGGGCACCCCTATAGAAACTCTGCTTTCTCATCTTTGCCTTTAGTTTCTATTGACATCACACTGTAAACAAACAAGAAACCCAAAGTTTTCATTAGAGTCTAGTGAAAACTCTGGGTTTCTTGAATCTCAGTCCAGACTGAAAGAGTTAATTCAGGAAATAAATAAAAAACTAAACTTATACATAACTTTTTTAGTGGTGCAAGTATTCAGATGCTTTACTTAGGTAAAAGTAGCAATGTCACACTGTGGAAATACTCTACAAGTAAAGGTCTTTCATTCAGAACCTTAGCCTAATTAAGTTTAAGATAGTATGTATTTTCAGCAAAATGTACATAAAGTATTAAAAGTAAAAGTACTCTTTATGCAGAAAAAATTGATGTTTTGGAGTAATGTTACTGCTGTATTAATGTGGATGTTGTAATTTTAACTACTTTATATATACGGTAGTTTAATCTACAGCAATGCATCATAAGTTTGTAGCCTCGCTGTCCTGTGAGAACCACATTTATCTAAAAAGTGAACTTTTCATGAGCTCAGAAAAACAGCCCTCTTCTCAGCTTTGTGAAGATGCATTTTCCAGCTGATCCAACAGGGCTGTTAAAGAGTTTATTTAGCTTAAGAAGTGGGAGAAAAATCTGATTAAAAATCACCACATTTGGAGATACATGGTTTTCACTGCACAGGAAGGGTATAAAGAATTATAATCTGAGAAGTAACCAGTAACTAAAGCTTTCAGACAAATGTAGTGAAGCAGTATTTGTCTCTGAGATGCAGTGGAGTCGAAGAAGTTGCAAAAATAGAAATACTCAAGGAAAGTAGTAGTAAATTCATACTTACATACGTTCTGTACTTAAGTTAAAGCAATTTGTTACATCCCATCACTGCCCAGTTGTATCTGGGTTTTGTATAATCAGTATTAATGCTATGCTGATAGTTAAACTAAACAATATGCACAGCTTACTCTTACAAACAATACAAAAAGGTGAGCATGATTTTAATATTGCAGCTGGCTGAGATGAAGTAAATTGTATTTAATAAGTTGATCAGATGTTTTGTTTGTAAAATCTTTCTAATTATAACCATAATTGGCAAAGCAGCAGCGGATTTCACATACATGTAGTTGAATGAAAAGAATAGTTTTTCTCTCTGTAATGCAGTGGAGTAGAGGTATAAAGTGACATGAGATGGAAATACTGGAGCAAAGTACAAGAAACTCAGCGAAACTCAGTAGTAACATGTGTTTTGCAGAAACAATGTCCTGCTTTCTTCGTTTCCATGAGAACTTTTTGGACATTTTGTACATGATATAAACATTTAGTTCAAAGTTAAGCAGCTTTATGTTGTAAGACGTGATGCTGACTGTGGTCTACAAGATACTATTACAGATATAATTAGTGGTAGTTTGTTATCTGTTGTTATTTTATCTAGCTTTGATTTTTTTCCTCAGCTCTGTTTTCAGACAACACTGGCACTCGTCTTTGCACACACAGAACTACTGTTGCCTCCTTACAGGCGCAGAAATCACCAACACAATATTGTTTCAGTCACATAATTAATACAGAGAACAGAAAGATTTGGCTGAAGCAAAGATTAAATGATTATTTATGCTTGTGAATTTTGTTTTGTCTCTAGAAAGCTGTTCTAGTTGGTTTTCTTAGAGGGGGAGAATGATGTCTGTTTATACTCTCGGGATTCCCCACGGCAGGTCTGGTTCCAGCATAGACACACTTCACATTCACACTCTGTTATTACAGAGGAATGAAAACATTTATGTAATCATTGAGAACAGTCATCTCAGACAAGCACCCAGCCAATAGAGGATTAAAGGGCATAAATCCCCTTTTCTCTCGAAACCCTTTGTGTCTAGTTCAGGCCATGAAATCCTTGTAACACGATCACATTAGCTTCATAAAACTTGAAAACATGTGAAAATAATCTATACAGATTATCTTTCACAACGGTCTTTGACTTTGATGCTGACAGGTGGAGGATACTGTGACAAGTTGACTTGTAAAATGCTGCTGCATGGAATTTTAAAATGTGCTATATGCTGTTTCACCAATATAACATATTGTGCAGACTCGAGTGAATGGATTGTGCAACAGTAATGTACTGTTAGACCCTCTGTGCCAGTTTTATTTCTGCCAGGCTCTAGAATGCAAATTTTCAGGAAATTCTTTTTCTCCTGTATGCACATGATCTAGAGATGTATTTAACAAAGATTTTATTTGCGTGTGTGTTTGTGTCTTGGCTCGGATGAGATTAAGTAGAGCTGAGACAGCGATGAAGGCAGAGGGAATGTCGCTGCAGCTGTTGGATTTCTTTCTCTTCCCATGCAAGGAAGTTTTCAGATTTCACCTGTCTGAAATTAAAGACACAGGTGACCTTTTTACTGCTATGAGGAGTTGAGCATAAATGACACACAGTTTGTGAAGTGTAATTGTAGCTGATTTAGGTCTCAGCCATTCTCTATCATGGGCATTACACTGGGACGGAGAGTCCCACTGCAAATCAGTAACCAAGGATTAGTCCAATCCTTCTGTCTCCTTCTGTTGCTGATTATATCCTGTAAAAAGCTCATTACAGTCAAAATGGTTAATCATTTATTTCTAATTTAAAGCTCAACAACCTTTTGTGGTGTTTCTTGGCTAAAACACTTGTAACAACTGTTACTTGGCTAATTATGATAAGACAAATAACATGAAAGACTCTTTTAGATGGATTTGAGAATATATCGGTACAGAGAAAGAGTCCTGAAGTTATGGTAATTAACCCTCAGGAGCCAAATGCCCTGTTGTTGATCCAATTTAGAAACTCTTGTACACGCTGATTGCTTGTGCGCGCGATCATAAGAGGAGAAGAAACAAACATTCTTGAAGAGGGAAGCAGAAGTCGAACATGCATTTCCTGCAGACATATACTTTGATTTCGGCCCTGTGAAACACAATGGGAGGGAGACTGCCTCCGCTCAGCAATGCCCCAACAGGAAGAAGCACATTCACTGGATGGGAGAGAAAAACATTCCAGCAAGACTTAACAAGCTATCACAAGTAACAGACCAGAGAGGGGATGTTTGTGTTTTTTTTCAAAGCATATTTTTTTATTGCAAATCACAAACATGAATTCAAAATAATCTGTATTCACAAAATGCTTTCATGTGTTTGTCAGGAACAAATTCATTGTTATTCTGACACCCACCAAACACACACACACACACACACACACACACACACACCAGCAGACTATCAAAGCATTCACCTTTTAATAGGGCCCTCCACCAGCCTGGAAACATTTGTCAGCTGCCATCTGTCTGTCTGTCTGGGACACCCCCTGCCTCCCCCACTATCTCTGTCTCTCCTTACAACACTCTTATCAGACTCCAACACCTCTTACTGATTGGCACACCCTTCCTACACACACACACACACACCCACACACACACACACACACACACACACGTAATACTGCTGGCTGTGATGCACATACTACAGACTGAGCTGGAGAGTGGGTTAGTCTGGTAGAAGTCACACCTCAAGTGCTTATAAATGAAAACAAGAACAGCAGTAGCAAATGCATGAGTAATACACTTCGCCGGGACTTGAGGACACGGTTTCAGAGTTCAAAGCTCATTTGCATAAAGTCCACAGGAGATCACACATGAGCACGTGGTCCTTTTTAAAATACATTCCACATTTTGCCCCAAAAACTAAGTCTGTCTCATGCTCGGTCCCTTGTATTAAGTAGTTCAGTCTTTGCCCTGGTATTGAAAGTGAGGCTGGAGTTCTGAGTGTGGCCAAGCCCCAAAACCACAAGCCTAACTGTTGTCTTCAGGTAAACGTTTACAGCAGTCCACAGAGCCAGAGTGGAGCAAAGGTGACGCCCTGAAACTGATCTCAGACGACCTGCGAGCAAGTACCCAGGCCTGTAAAGTTCGGATTTACCTGCATTGTCCTGCATTGTTCACCTGTTCCCCCAGTGTGCATCTGGGCCGTCAGCTGTCGTCACACCTTTGTGGCCAGAGACTGAGCCTCTGTCTTCTGAGAGGACAGGGAGCTGGCGGGGCTTGCGTGCAAGGACTTCTTCAGGTTGAGTAGGCACAAGCACTGGGACCTGAAGCGTAGGTCAAAGAAGGCGTACAGAAAGGGGTTGAGGCAGCTGTTGACGTAGGCCAGGCAGGTGGCGTACGGGTGAGCCAGCAGCAGGAAGCGCAGGAAGGAACAGGTGTCTGGAAACAGGTCCAGGTACGAGAGGGCGTCAGCACTCTTCACGATGTGGAAGGGCATCCAGCAGGCGGCGAACACCACTACCAGCGTGGTGATGATCTTCAGCAGCCTCCTCTTACGCTGGTCCTCTTTGCGCAAAGTGTTGAAGTGGCGTGTGACGGTGCAGCCGATGAAGCCGTAGCACACCATCATTGCCAGGAAAGGTAGGAGAAAGCCCAGAGCTGAGGAGGATATGCTGAGACCAGCGACCCACAGGTTCTCTTGGTCTTTGTTTGTCACCACCAAGCTGAAGTCCATGGCGCAGGATGTGCGGTTGGTGGTTGGATCATATTTGGTATTGCGGAAGATCAGAGTCGGGGCAGCCAGGACACAAGACAGCACCCAGATGGCCGTCAGGGAGGCTTGCATGTGGCCACGGGTGCGCAGCTGGGTGCTGGACAAGGAGTGGACAATGGCCAGGTAGCGGTCGAAGCTCATGCAGGTGAGGCAGAAGACGCTGGCATACATGTTGAGCAGGACCACGTAGCTGCTGATCTTACACAGGGCCACGCCGAAGGGCCAGTGGTAGCCCATGGCAGTGTAAACGGCCCACAGAGGCAGAGTGACCACGAAGGTGAGGTCAGCCAGGGCCAGGTTGCCAATGTAGACATCAGCAGCTCGCCGCTTACCTTGGGCTCTCCACACGGTGAAGATGACCACCCCATTTCCAGAGAGGCCCAGGATGAAAATAAGCATGTACAGCACCGGGATGACGGAGTATGACGGCCACCACTCAGAATAGTCACACATGGTGGAGTTTTCTGTCTCCTCATAGTCGTAGTAATCATAGGGACCGTCGGTTGGCTCCATTCTCTCTCTTCTCTTCTTATCCTTTTTAAAGATGAAGAAAACTTTGGTGCAGATAGATCCACGGTAGTTGTCAGCACACTGAAGTCTGTTGCTGCATGTGAAATCTGCCCACCCTTTTATACCGCCCCAGACTTGGACCCTCCCAGGACGCCCCCTCCTCCCCTCCCACTGCCCTCCTCCTCTGTGCTGTTTCACTGTGTACACACCCACCTTTCTCCATTAATTTGATTTGTACCTCACTACATAATGCAGGGTGGACTTGCTGATACATAGAACCAAGAGAGTCACTTTGTGTTGAAAAATGGTGGGGACATAAGGGCTCAGATGAGGGGGTTAATGATACACTTAGGTCACGACATGTGACGATGCACTAGGAACAAGAAGAGAACATTTTTAACACTATTTTGAAGAAATAAGAAATACTGAAATATATGAGTGGGAGGTCTGGGGGTCCTCCCCAGAAAATTGGAGCATTAAACATAATTAATATCCTGCATTCTGGCAAAATTTTCTTCTCCAATTTACGGTGGAAATGTCTATTTATATAAAGGGAAACAAAAAATTCAACTGGCAGAGAAATTATAAATAAAAATATTACAAAATATAATGCAGTAGTCAGTAGCTTGTTTTTTACTTTTCTTTTGGACAATGTACATTTGATTCTTCTATCTACATTGCATTGCATGTTTTCTTTTTGTGCAAATAAACCGACCTGAAATAATTTTCATTTGTTAGCCATTTCTTGGTACAAGCTATTTTTCAGAATGTTTTTAACAAATGCTTTCAAAAAGTGATGGGGACATGCCCCCAGTGTAAATGACACCTATGCTTATTTTTCAGGATATCATCAATTTTTCCTCACTTTTCATGCACAACAAGTTCTACAGGAATTTATCTTTAGAGCCAAAATGAAAGTCTCTGTCCAAAGTATAAATCTTTGTTTATTTTTAATTATTAAACACTTTTTAATCGTTTTTTTTTTTCACTTCAGGGAATGAAAGTTCATCAGACATGTTTGGACAGTAGCCCATGAGCCAAGCCTGGGCATGACAGGTTTAATGAAGTACTCAATTTTAATATCAATTGAACATCCTTCTGGCACCGGAGCACTCTGCTGAAAACCCAATAGGCTGCACATTTACATCTCTGTGGTTGTGTTTTTCATGTCTGTACATGCTCAAACAAATAGAACTACAAACCAAAGACAAAATAAAGATATGTTTAGCTTTAATGAACTGTAGGTTAGACAAACATAACTTTGACCTCAGACCCACATTTGAATATATACAATAATTCATATATGTGTTATTAAAAAAAAGTCTTGGCTTTTTTTTTTTTTATTAAAACCTTAAAACCAATTATAAAGCTCATGTGAATCCTGTAAAGAAAAGCAAAACTGGGAGCAGAATAATGTAATATGATATATTTTCATGACTGCTTGCATTTCTGTGTCTATGTGTCTAATTCTACAGGAGAACAAATATAACAAAATGCTTTGCATAGTGTAAAAGAGAACAAAACATGTATTAAAAGTAATCAACATCAGGAAAAGAGCATACATTTTCTTTTCCATGTCAAATATAATACAATTAACTTGAATGAAATACAACTGAACAAAAAAAAACAACTGACTCACAGCTTGGCCAGTCTGTACAAACTCATGCTGTGCAGCTAAACAGTTTTTTAAAGATGCCAAATGTGTCAGTCTGAATTCTGGGGAAATGTGTATAAAATGATCGGTGGTGCAATGTAACTAAGTACATTTACTCAAGCACTATACTTAAGTATTAATTTGTAGTAGGCCTACTTGTACTTTTGAGTATTTACCTTGTATGCTACTTACTCTTACTGCATCTCAAATATTATACATTTGTCTGAAATCTTTAGTTACTTGTTACTTTTCAGATTACAATTTCCTCTATCCTGTCCAGTGAAAACCATTTAACTCCTGATGTGGTGATTTTGTGATGAACTGAAGGGTGAAGGGTTCCTTTATGAGATAGAAGAATATCTTATTTCTTAAACTAAAACTATTTAGAACCCCTGCTGGATTAGCTGGAAAATGCATTGTCATGAAGCTGAAAACAGGGCTGTTTTTCTGAGCTCATGCAAAGTTGACACGTGGATCCCACAGGACAGCGACACTACAAACTGATGATGATCTTAAAGAATATGATGCATGGCTGTAGATTAAACTACCCAAAACCTATATAAATTAAAAGCTCAACCTTAAAAACTACAGCAGTAAAGTGCAACATACACATTAATGCAGTGGTAATATTAACATAAAAAACATCACATATAACAGTAAAAGACTCACAGAAAACATTTGACTGCACTATGAGTACTTTTACATTGATTCTTTAAGGAAATCTTGCTGATAATACATACTTTTACTTAATGCAGGCCTTTTACTTATAGTGGAATATTTCACAGTGTAGTATAGCTACTTTTACGCAAGCAAAGGATCTGAATACTTTTTCCACTGCGGAAAATTATTCCTAGAGACATCTGGAATATTTCTATATGATGGAATGGTCTTGGGCTTGAGTATTTAACTGTAAACATCCCATGCATCAATGAACAGTTGTAACAAGCTGGTACTGAACTTATGTGATACTGTCAGATACTGTGGATAAAGATTTTTTTTTTTACTTTAAAACTACTTAAAGGGGGGAAAAAGGAAAACATTAAGAACTAAAACAAGTAACATTATTCCTCTGTCTTCTTCTCTGCTGTCTCTTGGGTGTACTTGTTGGCCCAGGTGGGACAGCTCAGTCTTCAGTCTGCTCCGTCTCTCAGCAGAGGGGCAGCAGTGGCGCCGGGGCACCGACCTTTAGACACAACTACGGTATCACTCAACAATGTTTTCCTCCACCCCTCCATCTCTGCCTCCTCCATCCTCCCCGCTCATCTCCGCCTTCCTTTCATTATGATGAGGAATTGATTCCGGTCTTCTCTGCTTTTACCAACGTCATTTACTCTCAGACAACTGTTTGTTGTTGCCAAATAATTGTGATGCGATCTTGTGTTGTTTGGTAATCAAACTGATTTGATTGTGTTTGTGTGCCTCTCTCTCTCTCTGTGTCTCTCTCTGCCTGATTGTCCGTCCAGCTCCTTGTCCGTCCGGCAGAACAGGAAATACACAGAGTGAATGAATCAAAGCAAGTTTCCTATCTGTACTCCTCTGGGCCTGAGGTTTGTTTTTAGCAAACAGGCGCGCGAATATACAGCTAAATAAAACATCAGGCCTTGATGGATACAACAATCCACCCACTCACTTTTCTGAAAACAAAAATCCCCTAACCAGAGTTTATGGAGCAATTTTACAAAGAAGGGATAAGAGAAGAATACAAGAAACAAAGTCTGCTGGAGATAAAGATACATTTGAGTGAATCGAATTAGATGATTTGCACAGCAAAAATCCCAATTCTTCCAATTTTGAACCTTTAGGAGTGATAATTGGGCCGAACTTGCAGAGCATCCATCTTTTCCCTTAGAATACCAGAGACCCTGTTTCCACCACATTCAGTTCGCATTTGTCCTCTAAATAGCCCACCTGTGTCTCAAATCGATTGTTGTTGTTGTTGGTGGTGTCCTCTCGTGTGTGGCCTCGTGCTGTAAACCACACACCATGAAGGCACAGAGACATTCTTTGTGTTTTGTCCGCCTACACCAAGGCATCAAAGTTTCATCTATCCTTCATCCTTGCCCCACATTCGATCCATCATCATCCATCAGCGATGAGTCAGTAAGAGACAGCATATCCAGGGGATATAAGAAAAGGACGAGCACTTGCTTCTCAAAATATACACAAAGACACACATTACAGTGACAGCCAGTCTGCAGTTTCCCTTTGTTTTTTTTATTGTGTCCTTGTGAGTTTGCGTGTTTATGGGCCTGTTTTTGGTGATCCTCACAGCGCCAAAAGAGCATGAGGTGTGTGTTCTTGCTGTTTAGGTGTGTCGGTGGGGGTCCGACAGTTGTTTGATCTGTGTGTTAAGCTGTCACAGACCACATGCATAGCCCCCCCCCCCAGGCTGAGACAGCTGGTTCCTCAAGGCCTTGAGTCAGACTCAAGCTCTTCTAAAAATTCATGATATCACACGTCTGACCTGATTGAAGCTTGACAGCCATGATGATAAACAGACCCTCAGGCAAATACCAAATCATTTGTGCCAGTTACATTACCAGTCACAGCAACAGTCTGATCTGTACTTTTGATTTTCTGAATGCTGTCAAAGTTAACACTTCCAGCACAGCTGGAAGGCTGGAACATTTGGGCGTTGTTACCGCCTGCTCCACTTGGCTATCCTCTCTTTAGTCTTTTCAGGACAGACGATGAGGTGATTGACACCAGCTTGTTAGACACAATGGCCACCAGGATGGGAGAGGTTTAAGACCAATGGGGCTTCAGCTAGACTTTTACAACCGTATGCATGGATGAAACAGTTCTGAACTGGTTTAAGAAGTGTCCGAAAGTGACATATCAGCAGGTTTTAATCCACCTAGGCGAATCTGTAACAATGCTGCGACTGCTGGTGGCTAGTGGCATGTCAGACTGTGTGAGAAAAACGTTTTCTCTTACAGTGTGTCTCCTGAAGCTGGTACATAGATTGGGTATGATTGGACAGAATACGACACAACATGATACACATTTTATTGTGGATGACTTGTCTTGGATCCATGCCTGGTAGCCAAAATGTTTCGCCCAACAACAACTTAAACGGGCATTCATCCCAAAAACAACACTGCTTAAAACAACACAAGGGGCTGCATGGTGGTACGATGATACATACAGTCAAGTTTGAGTAACAGATTCATGAATTTGAAAGTTTATCAGACATCAAAACACTGCACAGCGGTTACTAATGCTCTGACAGTGAGTTTTATAACTCTGGAAAGTTGTCTGACTGGCCTCATTGTCATGAATGAGATGGCAGTGTTCATTCAGTGCACAAGTTGGTCTGTCTGGGTTGATGGATATATGTCAGATTTGATGAGCATAACTTTCCCATGTAAACTAATAGGATTTCTGGGAAAAGATTCTTTCTTATCAAGTTCTTATTCCAGAAACATTGGGG